GGTACGACAACCCAAACTCCATTGAGACAGACAAACACAAACCAGAAATAAAAAAGGTCATTAAAATTGTCAAACCTTGGAGGCCAGTTCTAAAAAAAAAAATAAAATATTACAAAAAAAAAAAAAAAAGAAAAAAAATGGAAGCAAGAAGTGAAACCGAGAATAAGATAGAAGAAGCCTAAAAAAGATGAAATATTGGATGGATGGGAGGGTTGGGGTTCGGGTAGATTTTAGTGGATTTATGAAAGGTTGAAGTGAGCTAGTGCATGAAATGATGGATGAGTGTGAATGGAGAGTGGATAGATGTGTGGGTAAGTTGGTTGGTTGATTGAATGGAAATAACTACCCTATGTATCAGAATTAACAAAATGTGTAGTTCCAGAAAATATCCTTACCCCAAACATGGAGGCAACTGGAAATTCTGGAGGGAAGGAAGGTCAAAGAAAGAACAAAAATAATTTGTTTGGAAAAAATATTGGAAGTTCCTAGGGGTATAGGGGACCTTTTACAAATTCCCTCCATGATGTGGGGATGGATATTTTTTGAAATTACACAATGCTGCAAAATAGCTAAAACAAATTGTCGGTAGTCAATGGGGGAGTCACTGCTGATGAACATGGTGTGACCAAAATATGAGCTAGGTACTGAGAACAGAGGCAATAACATGAGGGAAGTATAGGCTTACTGCCTATGTTCTCAGTAATTAAGTATTTTATTTGTCATTTAATGAGAAGGTTTTCTATCAAATGTTTATATATTTGACTTAAAAATAACAAAAATTAAAAAATTAAAAAAAGATTTAAACAAATAACCTGCAGAGAGCTGGGCTGATGAATTGAACTGAATTGCTCATAATAAATGCAAGGTCAAATATAGTTATTAGAGAGTTTTAGATTTACGTTCATGGCAAAGTTGACCAGTAAAAAATTCTTTTAGATTACTGAAAAGAATCGCAAAAAAGTCTAAGTAGTAGAAAAACAAAAGAGTATTTGCGCTTGGTGAGAAGGTTTGTAAAAGGTAAAGTAAAATAAAGGAAAACAATGAAAACGTGGTAACCCTTGCCGTTTGCGGGGAGAAAAAAAGTCAATCTAAAACTCTCTTCTAATAACTGTATACTGACCTCGCATTTATAATGAGGGTCATAACAAAAATAAAGCCTTGTGAATAACAAAGAAAAATCGTGTCAATTGAGAAATAAAGACTAGTGGTTACTGCATGGTTGGCACTGCATTGGTTTGTTGAATAACACGAGTAAATAACATGGAAACTTAAATTCACTGGTAAAAAAGTTTGTAAATTATATTGAAGTTTTGGACAATAAGTTATCACAGTAAAACTGATACAAAAGTTTTTCATCAGAGAAAAAAAATTATACACATCGTATAATTATATATATAATTTTTACTTTGACAAAGGAATAACGAAACAAAAACCTTTTTCTTAATGCGATAAAAAGATTTGCTACTGTATACTTACTGATGGAAGGTGTTTAAAGCCATCTAGAATTTCAGCACCTACATACATTATACAGCCCATTAGCTGGAAAGTTGATGTCATGATAGCTATGGCATGACAGTACCATCTCTTCTGGACAATTGAATGATACCTGTAAAACATGCACACATATAAGTGGTGATAACTAGTAGAACTAGGGTATACAGTCCTTTGACTAAACGTTGTTGTTGATCGAATCATCCCTACGAGCCTACATCTAAAAGGATAACGAGTAAATAAACATGCATAATTAATTGTTCTCTATCAGTCGGTGGCAATCGCACAATGGAGAGCAAAATAGGAAGGACTAGCAACGGAAACGTCAGTAATTTTTAAAATCTTTTCACGGTGTATAATTTACCTGTTCATCATTACTGTTTCATTAGAAACACCCACGCAGCTCACACTAGTTTTTAGCTAGTTATCTCTTCTCATGATGTATTGTGTTTATTGAACTAGAATCCCACCATGAGTTCAATTAGTGTCATTTACAATCAATTTAAAGAATAAAGAATAGACCATTTCACAGATCCCGCGGCTCAACCTCAGCCTCGTCAGCGTGTAACATATTCTTTAGAAATTGCCTACAACCTGTGAAATTTTTAAGTGTTTCAATTGTTCGTTGATGTGTAAATTCCTTTCATTATTGCGGACTGTAGGCAAATTCTATGCTGACGAGGCTGAGAGGTTGAGTAACGGGATCCTTGAAATGGCCTATTCATATTTAATAGATTCCCTTGGCAGAATCATGGAAAATGCTAATCAAAATATGATGTGGAATCCTCAGTTCTGATTGGTTGACCTTGAGATTGTTCTGAAAGTCAATTCAGCTGCACCCAACACTACTTAATTGGGGTTTTCAAATGTTACCTCATAATTTAAATCCATAACATAGACATGGTAATCAAGTACTTCATGACCAGCCGACATGTGTCAGTCGACTATTGCCCAACTGTTGGTCGACAGTCGCCTGACTGTCAACCAACACTTGCCCAACACTTGACCGTCTTTCTACCAACACTTCACTATGATCGTTTTGCCTACATGTAGTTTTGCCTACAGAGGTATCATATCAAATACTTTGCGATAAATTTTCAATCTGAACCAACTAACTAATAATTCCACCCTGCTCTGACATCTTACCATATAATGCAGAGAGGTGTCATTATAACCATTTCAACAGCAGATATTGTCATCACCATTGGGTCTTGTGTTTGCCAATAACGTACATCAAGTTTACCATATTGTTCGACAAGCCACTTTGGACCTCTGCCAAATATTCCTACAATTCTATATATCAATAAAAGTATGTTTATCATGCCGTTGTATGGAGCAAATAAGTTAAAGAGATCTAGAATTGGGGATGGAGATGGTGCACTTCGCTAACCTTTTAAATAACATGTAGCAGGTTGCTAGGCTGGGGGGGAGGGGGTTGGGGGACTAGGGATGTGGTGCTGGGATCCAAAAACCGCGACCCTATCTATAAAGACAAGAATACCTTGAAAAAATATGCCCTGTTAATCGAGCCACAACATTGTAAATTTTAACCCTATCTACATGTAAGACCTTTTTAAAGTGTATATGACACGAAAACATTCCATCATTTAAAATGTATAGTTTGTTAGTAATAATAAATATATCGTAACAAAATTTGTTTCAAAAGCTTATTTCTTGAGATATTTGCGAAAGTTAATCCCAATTTGTGACGTCATTTTGTTGACACGTACTCTAGATTCAGTAGTAATATACTAAATATAAATTGTAATTCATATGAATTAACAACAAAAGACATATTTTAGTCAGCTTCATTTGATAGCTTACGTAGTACTCTTCCAATGTTGGGAAACTGAAAAGTGTACTACTTGAAATTAAGATTCTATATTCAAACATATTTCATGTATTTGCAACTAAATCTGGAGACTTGTAAACAAAATGACGTCACAACTCGTGCTAAAATTTTTTGAATTTCTAGAGAAATGCGTTTTTGGAACAAATTTAACCGTGATATTCTTATTAATGCCAATAAAATACACATTCTTAACATTAAAATTTTTTCGTGTCATATACACTTTAACAAACCCCACCATGCCTTATTTTCTGCATTTTGTGGCAAATTATTCTTTTGATATTTATTTGTTTAAATGAGATTGAAAAGAATAAATTTGACACAATACTTTCTATCTTTTATTCCCTAATCTACAGGGATTGGCAGAGCCTGGGGGGAGGGGGGAGAGCTTTATTTTGCCTTTTAGCTTGAGTTCCGTATGATTATTGATAAATATCATAATTACAAAGGATCAACAACTTCTTGAAGTTGATCTCAGCAGAGAATGGCGAAGGATCAACAACTTCTTGAAGTTGATCTCAGCAGAGAATGGCGAAGTATCAACAACTTCTCAAGGTACATGTCAGCTAGAAAAAGACGAAGTCCAAAACAAATTAAGTGCACTTTGCATTCTACCAAAGAGTCTGTTTCTAGTCGTGAATAACTGCCATATCATATGCTTATCATTTAACGACAGATTAAAGAGTATTCTGGACTACTAACCCATCCATGTAGATGTGAATAAGGCATCCATTGAACATCGCCCACCATGCAAGACCGACGGGACGACCTGACCAAAACACACACAATGATATCAAGACAACAGGAACGAGGTTTACAGGATCCTCTATATCTACTAGAGAATACTTTGCTATTTCTACGATGCGATCCATTGCTATATACTATAAGATTAAAGTTACAATTTAGCTCGAGTTCTTTTGAACTCAATCGTCTGGACGGAAGGAAATTATCGGCAGGCGTTGCTCCCGTTATTACTGGGATCCCTGTGGTACAGCTAAATCACAGGAAGCCCATTTCAGATAAATTAAAGATAAAATCGAATCAAAGTTCATATTATTCAATTTTTATTTTCTTTCTTTAGCTTTATTTTACTGTGCTTCCCAATCACCGCGGGAAATCACATAAGTTTCTGTCGCGAAAATAGGGTTTTGGTGGACGTCAGTCACAACGTTTGAAAGACATCATCCGCTTTAGACTGCGGTGGCCTCTGAGGTCCCCGGCTTCCCTTGAAAAAAATTAGATGAAGATTGAATTCTGTTGAAATACAAGCCTTACCGGCCTCTGGAAACATTGCTGCTAGGATTTACCTTGTTTTCCCTGGGGAAAATGGGACTTAGGTTTCTGGTGTTGGGAAAAAATAGGCCGATGAGGAATAGGAAAATAATGAAAGAAAAAGCCTTTGGAATTTGAATGATGGGAGGTGGGATGTTTAAAAAACATTTGGGTGGGAAATGGGATTAGCACTCCTCCAATCGGGAACATCAATAATTCTTTAGGAAACGACGTTCATTTCCTTTGAAACGGTATATATATATAAGTATTTCTTGTAAAAAGTAAAGCCTGTTCTACTATTTATAGAATGTGGACGACCTTCATCCCACCGGCCGAATCACTCAACTGTTAGCACCGCGCCAAAATAGTGAACGATTGTGTTCGAATACACCGTTTACTCAAGGTTGCGTGCGCATCCAAATTTAAGGAACTTATATATCAGAACATATCAGAACAACAGTATTATCATGCATTGGTATGAAATTTTTTTTTAGATAAGAATTCAAAAATCAGATTATTCTTCTCTTTAAATATAAAACTGTTTTCTCAATTTTACTGAATTTGCGTTTTTCAATTTTGTGGCCCGTCAAGTTGGATGCGCACGCAACATTGAGAAAACCATCTATTTCGGTTAACTCACGCGACCATTTAGTGAAGAGTTCCAAATGGTCACCTGATATTACCTTTTTATTGTCACGTGACCTCCATGTAGATCCTTTCAGCTTGTGCGTAATGTATTCCATTCTACTTACCATTCCCTTGAGTATCATTTCTTTGTTTAACTGTTGCGCATGAGAAGAAGCATGCCCAAAATGCAGATCTACGGCTAGTCTTGACTTTTAATAAAAGTCTACGACTTTTCTCTGACTGTATTTTCCCTGACCCCTGGGAACCCTGATTGCATTTGTGGTGTCATTTACAGTAAACGTATGGGAGTAACAAAAACTGTAATTTTTTCAAGATAAATAAGCCTGAAGCGAGATGACGTTTTACCCCCGTCTCTAGACCATAATAGTTTTTAAAATTCTTTTATATTAAAATTTTTGATTCCTTAGAGAATACAGGAACAATAGTCATAATTAAAGAACAAAAGCACTGTGAAAAGGATTATGGTCTAGAGTCGAGGGTAAAACGTCATCTCGCTTCAGGCTTATTGGAACTACCTTGCTTCTATTTGTCTTACTTCATTCTGAGTGGTTCGTTAATTAAATACCATTATCAACAACACAGGAGCAAGAGAAAGCAAGGTAGGCTTTTCGTCCCATACATTTACTGTAAATGCTATCATACACACCACAAATACATGGCTTGGACTGCCTGTGGGCCTCAAATTTACCTGGAGACTGGACAAGGTTGAACCTCTTCCAATCAACGAATCAACGTTTTACAGCAAATTGCTCAGTGATACGCTTTATTTAAGATCTATATCACTATTGATACCATGCACAGGAAGCTTGTTTGGGCTTCCTGTGTTTTCCCCTAGCAATGTCATATTCGACGGAAGCCTTTCTAAGTTGTGATTTAACTTCAGTACAAACACCATATACAGCATGATGAACCAAGGATGTTTGCACCCAAGCTAGACCACAATGCAACATGTTCGCCTTCACAAGGACCACCTGACGTGCAGTAAGACTATTAGCACAGGACATTTATAAATTAGAATAACATTGAAGAAATTCGTATTTACTATTTACAATTAAAGTTCTTATTTTCAAAGATGGGCCCTTTCACGCGGCAGCCGTGTTGGTTTGAACAATAGATTCCATTACGTGTAGCCTCGCATTCAAGTGCAGAAAATAAATTTATAAGCGTGAAACAAAAGTTTTTATTCTTATTAGAATAAGTATGGCCGCCGTGTGATAAAAGGTCCTCTCAGCCCATGCCATTGGTTGGGACTTTTTAGTTGCCTTTTTGAGACGAGGCAATAAGATGTCTACACCAAGGTAGATATTACCTGTCAAAATTATGATATTCAAACATCGATCCCTTTTTTTTAAAAGAATACCCCACTTCCGAAATATCCTTGAACCCTTCACTTGTCACACACAGGTTTCAGTGTGAGGCTTCGTGCATAATGCTGAGTAATTCGTGACAGAAACTTTTTTGCGTGACAAGCGAAGCATAGAGCAATTTTTGCATGACTGGGGAAAAGTTGGTGCCGTATGCGTGCCTTGCCGCGGCCGTCATTTTTTCTAATATTTTGATTGGGGGATTTTCTATCTTATTTTTCTGTGATTGGTCTGGCAGTGCCGTGACCTTGGCTTAACCGTGCCCGTGTCGTATTCATACCGTGTTTCGGGTATTTCGATTGGATGGAGAGTAAATTCTGGTATATGCCGTGTCACGACCGTGCTCGTGTCTTGAGCTTTTCACAGTCATACGGAAACTGCTCTATCTCGGAAGTGAGCTATTCTGGTACGGTACGAAGCTATAACGTCAAAGACCTATTCTTAGTTATTAACTATACCGACTAAAAAGTTATATACTCCGATAATTTAGGGGCTATTTTGCATTCATTTCTGTTAGCTTAAGATAATACCTAAGCCCTCATTATACCACGGAGAGAAGTGAAAAAATTTTTTTTGTCTCTTCTTTTCAGAAGATGAAAACAGAATTTGTGCAAGATGGAACCTTCTAGAAATTTATCTTGAATTCAAGGCTAACATGGACACACAGTAGAGATCACACTTTTTCTGGTGGAATTTGTGGCATTTCTTTAGCATTTCCATGTTCGGCTAACATTCAAGATAGCTTTGAGAAGGGTTACCACTCTTTTCCTTGCTACGTGCTGATCGAGACAACAGTCGCAACAGGGAAATTGGGCAATACACTGACGCCAATCAAATAAATTGGTCGTTACCTTTATATTCTCTGATGGGCGTCTGTGTATTGCTAAATTCCCTGTTGCGACTGTTTTCTCGTTCAGCGCGTAGCAGCGAAAGAGTGGTAATTCCATCAGTTTTTACGAGTATAGAATCGTAAGAACGTTAACTAAAACCGTCCACTAGTTTATCAGGACGGCAAATAGACCCCTTGCACGTGACGTCWAAGCAGCTCAATAGACCCCTTGTATGTGATGTCAAAGCAGCTCAATAGACCCCTTGTATGTGATGTCAAAGCAGCTCAATAGACCCCTTGTATGTGATGTCAAAGCAGCTCAATAGACCCCTTGCATGTGATGTCAAAGCACCTCAATAAGCCTTTTCATAATTTAAGAATCGATTCCACTGCGCATGCGATTTTATCCCGAATTTCTCACCTTCTTTTGTTTAATTAAGAACAAAAGAAGGCATGCGCAGTGGAATCGATTCTTAAACTATGAAAAGGCTTATAGACCCCTTGCATGTGATGTCAAAGCAGCTCAATATACCCCTTGCATGTGACGTCAAAGCAGCTTAATAGACTCCTTGCACGTGACGTCTAAGCACCTCAATTGGAGGACAAAGCAAAAAAAATTCGATCTCCTCAGAATTGGAAACCTATTGTTATGTCAGTGATGTCCTTCAAATTAAGCTGCATTCTGACGGACTTCAAGGGCTCAATTGCACGATTTCGAGCATGTGGTTAGAAAGCGCTGTAACTGGTCCTAGGCTATTATATTTACAAAATTCACTAGCGTAATCAAGAAATTAGAAAGATTTCAATATTTGAGCCAGAAGACGTGCTCCCATTATTCAGTGCAGATAAATAAAGTTCAAGAAGAAATTCCACTCACATGATGACAAGATAGGTTGTCTGTTATCACAGTGTTCGTTGTGTTGAAGCCAGCCTTTAAAAAGTCCCTGATTGGAATATGAATTTCTGAAGGTTTGAATGCCGATGGAGAAGGATTAGTAGAAGGCGATTTAATATCGAGGTTATCATCCCCGGTAGAGATTTCGCTGTCCATTTCGCTGATCTCGTTGTCTAGTTCATCAGACGATATTTCTATTGGTATCTCTGGTTCAATGAACTCGCTTTGTTCTGTTGTTACTATATGTTCTGATGCTGGTACAGGAGTTGACCGCCTTCTTCTCTTTGGCTGCATTGACAACCTTATTCTCCTTTTTCTCCGCTTTATTTGTCCTGCCTCCCCGCCCAATCTAGACAATGAATGGTTTTCATTGCCGGACGAGTGTCGTCTTGGTTTAGATTTTTTGACCATCAGGCTTGCAGTGATCTGCGTGCCATACTCCGTAGTTAATTGATGGTCAGTGCCCAAAATGAACAGCTTACCCATGCCATGTAACGCATTATTGAAACAAGCATCTTCTGGATTTGGCGACAGTACAGATTTACTGTTATCTTCAACTAGGAGAGGTTAAAAAGAAACATATTATGATGGCTGTGTAGAAGTGGGGATGGCAAGTTCGTTAGCAGTAATCAGTTTGTTGCCTTATCTATTGTGTCGCATTGGGGGGAGGGG